GGGCATACCTCTAACCCTTTCTAGGGAGAGGCAAAGATATAAAATGTAACCAAAATGTTTGTACTCTCATATATTCCTGAAATAAAAAATAAATAAAGTAGATTTCGATTATAACTCAAAGTATAAAATACACGTACAGGAGTCTATACTGATGTAAATAAATGATTGACTGAAAAAATAAATAGGGGAGAAGAAAACCATCTTTTATTTAGAAGAATTCCAAATGACACATGTAGATACCTATCATTCTAAGAGGTGTGGCTTGGTCTTCCCCGGCATCCTTGAGGGTGGGTTGGACTGGGAGACTCGCTTCTAAAGAACAGGATAAAGGAAAGGGGGAAGGAGTGACTTCACAGTGGGGAAACATCCCCTTCACCAAGTGATGAAGGTTGACCTCACCAGCAACGTTGTGTGGTTGCATGTAACCCTGGTGGGATATGACGAGAAGGGCACTTCACCTCTGTAGTGTTCTTTTCAAAACCCCACCACCCTATCTAATCAAGATAAAAACAAACAAATCCCAATTTGAGGAACTTCTTACAAATGTACTTAACCAGTACTCCTGAACACTGTTAATGAAAAACAAGGAAAGACTGAGAATCTGTCACAGACCAGAGAACACTAAGGAGATGTCACAACTAAATGCAACGTGTGTCCTGGATTAGATCCTGGAAAAGAAAAAGGACATCAGTGGAGAAACTAGTGGCATCCAAATCAAGCCTGGAATTTAGTTACCAGTAATGGATACACGGTAATAATATTAGTTTATTTAGCTTTGATTAAGTAATATTAAGATGCTAACCTTAGGGGAAACTGAACTTGGGTGAGGGGTGTACTCTCTGTAGTATCCTTGCAACTTTTTGTAAACCTGAAATTATTACCAAAAGAATTTATGAAGAATAACAGAGTTTGGGGAAGACTAGATGATACTACATCTGAAAGCACATTCTGAGTTCATTGTTGATTGTGCAGAATGAAATGTAGCGATTAAGGAAATAGCGATTTCTAACTGGACACAATTTCCTGACTGTGATTCTTTTACTAGCCTTACCACCTGAGACTGTCTACCAAAAGAGATACCAGGTATTTTATTTGACACCCAATGTTTAAAAAGTAAAAGTAAATTCCTGAGGTCAGCTTGTTAATCTCTCAGTGAAACAAGAATCTGTTGTGTGCCTCTTTCTCATAAAAAAGAGTGCAGACTTACTTCTTCCCAAACCCATGTATGTCAGCTTCCTGGGGGTTTGGATTTCCTGTGCATACACACACACCCACACCCCCAGCATCTGGTTCCCGCAGAAACCAGGTTCGGCATGGGTAAAGCCATTTCAAAGTCTGGGGTGCTTTCCTAAGGCTGTGGGTCTCCCTCATAGCAGTTTAAGTGGGCTGGAGGCTCCAGAGAAATACGGAGAACCTGTCCCCACACAGGCTTACATCCTGCATATAATTCTGTTTTAGTAAGTGGCTGAAGTCAGTCTGAAGTGTGCCTTTGGGATGTTGGCAAGTGCAGCATGTCCCTCCAGCACAGCCGTGGTTAGGAGGGGGGTCTCTTTAAAGCTATGAGGTCTGCCTGGGGATCTCAGGGTTAGGGGACCCAGGGGGGAGCAGCACCAAGCTGAGGAGGCTTCAGAAGCTCCTGGCTCAAGCAGGGGCATGTACATTGTAACACTGATCCAGAAAAGAGAGGTTTAAAGAGCCACAGGGTACACAAGTAGGAGCTGTATTCAATTTTCATTTTGTGAGCTGGGGTGTCAGAATCATGCTTTTGCACAAATTTGCATGCATGTGTATGTGTTTGCACGTGTGTGTGTGCAACTGGCAGTCCCAGCAGCAACAGTCAATGCCCTGTTTTGTGTGAAAATGAGAAGAGCAGTGGTAAAAATAATCTCCCCAAGGTAGGTAACACAAAACTATCTGGGGAGCGTTTGCAATGTGGCCTGCAGCTTTTCCCCTACTTCCTCCCCTTCTTCACCCTCCCACTTCTATTTCCTTCTCTCCCCTCCTCCCTCATCCCCTCCTTGTACCAGTTGAACATTGTAGATCTTTCTTGCTTTGATTAATTATGAATGAAGTTTGCCCACATGGTAGATAGTGGTAGGGATTCGTGGCCACAGGATCGGCGGGAAGTGGGCCTGGAATTTCGGGTGAGCTATAGAAGATCAATAGGTGGTTCATTGTGTTCCCCAAATGTGGTCCCACATTTTTCTTTTGGCCCCACTGGAGTCAGACCCCTGTTGCTCTGCCATGCTTCTTTCTGCTCCAGGAGCTTCCTGGCACAGAGGGACCCCTCCATCGCCTCCGTCCCCTCCATCCCTGTAGCATGCATGTCACTGGGGAGATGGCTTGTCTCACACCATCTATGCTTTACTAGAATCTGAAATGCATGACCAGCAAGACGTGGAGGGTGCAGAGTCCTGCTTGTGAGGACTTAGCTGGCCCAGGAACGGTGGTTCAATTCACAGTAACAATCCCCAAGAGTATAAGTGAGCCAGAGCACAGCGGATAAGAACCTGGGCTCTGAAGACAAACAGACCAAGATCCTCCGGTGAGTCCTCCCTGGCTGTGTAACTTGGGAAAACCCTTGAACTTCTTTAATTCTCAATTTCCTCATTTGTGAAACAGATACACACCTAAGAGCATTGTTAAATGAGATCATGCCTGTAAAGTGCAGATGCTGGCAGGCCGTCAATAACTGTATGCTCCTGCTGTTTCCATTGTTATCCACATACCGAGTAAGCACGCACCTGGCGAGATGGAGGGACGAAGACAGGCTAGATGCAGCTGCCTCCCCCCACGTGGTTACACCCTAGTCAGGAAATCTACACAGCTGTAATAGCTCGGCATCTCTGTGCCTCGCTTTCCCCGGGTATGCAATATGGACAACAGAACCTACTCTGTAAAATTAAATGAATCGATACATATGAAGCATTTGGGAGAGTGCTAGCGCATTGTAAGTGCTTGTTTTATAATGATGATTGAGAGGAGAGTTATTATTTTGCTAGGGAGAGTTAGGGATTAATTTACGGAGATGGTGGCCACAGAGACAAACTTGAAGGGTGGGCATGGCGTTGGTGTGGCTGTCTGGGTGGAAGGAGGGATTCCGACCAAAGGTGCAAGGTAGGGAGGTGTGAGTGGGCTTGGGGGAGAACCCATCACCCACTGCTGGATCACAGCACAGGATTCACAGGACTAAGAATGGAAAGCAAGTTGGGAGAGGCTTTTGGAGAGTCCTGAAATGCTAGGTGAAAATTTGTGCTTAATTGTGTTGGCAATGTGGGGGTCCTAGGCTGGAGGAAATAACAGGACCTGAGGTGTGCACTGGGAAAATCAGTCAGGCCATGACGTGAAGAAAACCAGAATTTCCATCAGTGATGCAAATGAGAAGCTAGTGGCACTTCATCCATTCATTCGGTGACAAATATTTCTTTGGCATGTGTGAGGCACCATCCTAGGCATTGGGTATACAGTGGTCAACAAGTTTGCCCTCCTGGAGGTTAGAGCCCAGTGGGAGGGGCAGACAGACGGGCAATCTCACATGTGTATCCCTGAAAAGAGCGAGTTGGATGAAGGAAGGCACAGGAGCTATGACAAGGGGTGTCTGATCGGAGTCATCTCCCCAGAGAAGCAAGGTGTGAGCGGAAACATGAAGGAGGAGGAGGAATCACCTGGAGGAAGGACCGAGGGAGGAACTGCTGATCATGCAAAGGGCTATGGTGGGGTGACAAGATCATATTCATCCTACAGAAAGGCATTTCTGGCATCAGTGTGGAAACTGTTGGGAAGAGAGCAAGAGCAGATGTGGTTGGCCAGCTGGGAAGCTACAGCAGGGGTGACATCAGAAGCTGACTGGGCGAATACTGCATGCGGTGATACCATGTACCCCAAACATGGGTGGATCTCGCAGACAAAGGAAGCCAGGCACAAAGGAGCACATACTGTGTGAGTCCATTTATGTGAAGTTCAAGAATAGAATTTTATATAAGTGAACTAATCTGTGCTGATGGATTTCAGAATAGTGGCTACTTTGGTGACTACTGACCAGGAGAGATACGAGGAAGCCTTCTCATGGGCTGGAAATTGTCTACATGTACAACTGTGTTTCACCTGCCTTTGGTAGGCAGGTCATTCTAGGTGATAATTCATACATGCTATGTAGGAGCGATTTGTATGCTCTGGAAATGAAAAAGGTAATTTTTAAAAAAATATGTGCTCAAAGTGTAATGTTCAGGGGGAGAAGTAGGGCATAAAATTGTATA